AAGCATGGATCGAATCGAAGTGGCCTTGTGGTTGGTACGAATTAACAATATATATATATATATATTTATATGTGTTTTCTCTCCAGCAAACCCCCGACTCCTCCGCTTCGCTCCCGCAGCCGGACAAGTCCATGGCCTCGCCCTCGTCTTCAGCCGGTTCGGTGCGGCCAGTCGAGTCCTGTGTTGGTCACAGAACAACCTAATAGCGATGGGGGACACCCCAAGCCAACTATAACTGATGGTTTGCATATGTGTGTGTTCTATTCGTGGTTTATGATTGACTCGGTGGTTAGAAGGTTGGTGTTTCAACTCGCCCTCTACATGTTGCCAAGAAATCAACCAGAAACTTCTTCATCCCAGCACACAAGAAGAGTTGTGCTATCTCCTTGCTGCACAAAAATGCGCCCCTATATGTATATATATATATATCCACTGCAAAAACTTTGAGAGAATGCATCGAAACATCCAGGGTCAATCTACTTGCCACCAAGGCTCTGCTGGCGACTCGCTGTTGCCTTTCTGGTTCACCACCCGCACGGGGTGATGGGCGAGAGATGTGATGCTTTAAGGGTGGAAAACCGCAAACATGATTGTCATCGCAGCAGCAACGGTCCGCCTGTCAAGCCAGCATGTCTGCAACGTTGAACTCCCCTTTGTGACAGAGAAACGGGACTCAAGTCATCTTTGGATGTGTCAATCCAAGGACAGGGGGAAGCTTGCGCTGGTGAAGTGTTTCTCGACGGACAAAGTGATGCCAATGGGCCTGAATCACAAAGAATGTCAAGGGGTACAGCACATTGTAGCAGCTGTATCGGCCACGAAGTGAGGAGAACAGTAGATCTGGATGTAGTTTGTATCACATATCCTGTTGTGTACAAGCTTGCAAACTCTTCTTCAGCAGTTGGAGGTGGCATTCATTGACAAAAATAGCAACCTTGATCGTGAAAAAAACAATGTAATCTGCTGCAAGTACTTTTGCATCAAGAAGCGAGAGCAAGTCTGACTCCTAAATTCCCACACAAGTCGCTTGGCCGACTGGCAAGAATGCACTTGGTGACAAATCTCCGGCTGGGCGCACTCAAAAACGGCGGGTGAACATGTTACTGAAGAAGAGACACGTCTGACAACAGAGAGTCTTTGAAAACGACAATTGCAACTCGCTTCTTCACCTCATGGTGAGGCACTTGGTGCGCACAAGACCTGTAAGCAGCACTTGTGATGGGCGCAAGCAACCCTTGCGATCTGAACATGTTGGGCGTCCCGCAGGCGTTGCTTCAACGCAAGATCCAAGCAGTCGAACGTCGATGCAGCACAGCTTCGACCCATCAGGAAGCCGGAATATTCATCACATGCAACTTTAAGAATTGCTCGGCAGCGGCAGCTTTGCTGTATTTTTGCCATGGGCCCTTACTTTTGACCCCAAACTTTGGCATCCAATCTGCATTGTTTACGTCTCGGAGCCTTCCAGATTCTAGTTACCCTGACCACATGCCTTTTGAGCAGTCCACTGATTTTTTCTGCGAACACCCCTCGCTTCTTGAAGAGCGGTGTCAATCTCGGGGCATATGTATCACTACCACGCAAACACTGCATGCTGAAAAGCAGTGCCCTTGCCAATTGCTGATTAAATACTTGAGGCTCTCTGCAGCATTTCGCAAGCTCTGACAGGTTCGTGTGGAGCTTCCTGGATAGATGGGGACATGAAAGCGCCTGTCGCCAGGGCAAAACGTTGCGTTCTTGACAAAACGCGCTTCTGAAGGGCTTCGTGTTTGCATTCCAACCACTACAAGCCAAGGCCAAATCGCAGAGGGTGGCCTTGGGCTCAGGGATGTCAAAGCAGTCAAGACCTTTGTTCAGCTTGATCTGTGCATGGCAATTAGAGTAAACAATCAAGGAGCCAAGCCGGCACCCCGTCGGCACCTTCACTATCTTTGCAAGAAAGTACCAGCTACTCCACTTAAGCTCATAAGCTCACGTGACGAGACAATGATCTTTCAGTGGCGGCTTCGCCAGCTTACCACGATGTGAGAAACAGTCCTTCTCTCTCCACCCTGTGGGCATAGCAGAAGGCACTCCTGACAGCATAAGGGCCAAAACCGCCCCGCCGTCGGACTTGCGGAGCAGCTTTGCAGGCTGGCATTTTGATGGAAGGTTGCCCAAATGAAATGAGAGTCAAAAGCATCTTTAAGAACTCACATAAAGAAATGAGCAGTTCCAAATCCAGAGAATCTATGCTCTTTCGCTGCCTGTCCCTTGCTGTCGAAAAGAACCGAGCTTAGCTTAGCTTCATAGTTGGTCTTATGCGATGGATCGGAGTTGCGTATGTCCAGCTGAGAGGTGTGCCACACGATTTAACAATAAATGGTGCTGCTGGCTGCTGTTCACTCGAATTCTCCTGCAAATCTTGGGCTTTGAAGGTCGAAGCTTGGGCCTGGGAGGCCTCGTCAACTTGGGCATCACGCATGCAAGGAGTCTACAGCTCTGGAAGCTGTGCAAAGCTGGTGCTGCAAAAATGTGCACAACCTGAGGGCTGGGACAACCCCAGCGACCGCTGTCACTTGACAACTCTTCCTGTCACTCCAACACAGAAAAGTCCGTACGACCCAAACGCACAAACACCTGAGGAAGGGTTCCCTGTTGTGCGGCCGCAAGAGCCTTCGGAGCAAAAAGATAACTCAACAAAGGAGTGCCAAGACAGTTCAAGCTCAAACGGTGAATCTCGCCATAAACCTGACGCAGAACTGAACATCGGACGAATGTGCTGCTCCCGACAGTAAGTCTTACAAAACTGACACCTGGAAGAAGTGCTTTCAAGTTTGGAGCTTCACGCATCGAGATCGAGTACCTGTAGTGCCTGCGGTGCCTGTGCGCCTCAAGAACGCACGGCTTATTCTGACCTGAAGCGTCAGGTCACGTGCTTTCGACGGCGACGTGATGTGCGACGCGATTCCGCTGAGTCCAAGATGCTTCGTTCTTCGTCTGACGGAGGAAGGTTGAGTTCGGGAGAAACCCTGGTGGCTAGTGCCTCCTGGGAAAGCTTCCAAGTCGCATGATTCACCCCCCTCTTGTAGAAGATCTTGCATTCACCCTGAGGTTCATTTAGATTCACCTTAGCGGCTTTAGCATCATCCTTCTTGTCAATGAGCTATGGTCAATGGAATGATTTGCTGGTGGCCAGCTTCAGCTTTGCTGATCTCTTTCTTGCGAGACGATTGCTTGCGCACCCACAGGTGACGCCAGCAGAGGCGGAAGCTTAACATTTCCTCCTCCAAAGCCCTTGAACTGAGGGGATACTCGTCTTTGGCAAAAGGGATCCAACCTGTCCAGCAGGAGGTAACTTTGATTTGCCCCCTTCAAAACCAGCTATCCTTATTGAATCCAGGGTTACTTGGCCCAACTTGGAAGCAAAACATAGCTCAATGCCTGAAGGAAACGCCGGCAATCTGTCGAGCCCTTCTCTTGCTCAAGGGCGTGAGGCACCGATACTCAGGGACTCGACATGAGTCGTTCCCTCCGAGTTGCTGAGCATTGGAGACAAAGCAGTTGGCGACCATCAAGAGATTAAGCCAAAATCTTCCAAGTGAAGCCAACCTGCATAGGAGTTGCAAGAATCCTGAATCTTGGGAAGACTTGGTCCGAAATCCATGGATCTGGGACATGAAGAACTGGTGGTCACCAGCAACCTGCTCGCCTTCTTGTCATGATTTTGGCTCATCACAGAGCTGTTCTGCGGGCCGGAAGTAGAAAACTTAAACCCATCACCGAACGAACCAACAATAGAGGTGCGGAAATGAAACGGCTGGAGAATGCTGTCGGGGCATGAAACGCTTTCTTGCGCTGCAATTTATGGGCAGGCTTTGTGTTAGGTTGATCGGCTCGCTACAAGAGCTAAATCCTGCAGTGCTGGGCTCAACCAGACACTGGGGGCCAAAAGAACAACAAGTTTGCTCCAGATCGGGAGGTCATCGAAATCAAATTAACTTCCTTCCCGTTGGCAGCCTTGCAGCCTCAGCGAAATTCTGCATCTCAAGCTGTGGTCAACGGTTTATAAATAAGACTCGCTTGATTGACTTGAATCAGTTGGAAATCATTCCAATTGTTGGCGCACACCCTAGCAGCGTCCAGCATCCGGAAAGTCCCTCTATGAATGAGGCTACATGCAAGTTTAGGCACGTGATATTTCCATCTGCTTCATCACCTGAACTCGGTAGGTCAACGAGGTCTCTGACCGCAACTCTTCCGTAGTACTTTATGAGCAACGCATTACTTTGCAGGCCTACCTGGACCGAAGGTTCTGCCAATCTTGCATACCATATCAACAAGGTGACGCAACTGGAAACACCTCCAAGCGAACAAAAACGCAGTCACCTGTGACTAAATCCTTCATTCCCCAGGTGGTGCAAGCTTCGCTGGCCAGAAGTGCGTTGCAGCACAGTGGGCTGTCACTGGACTCTAAAGATCTAGCAAGTTCGTGCCTTACATGCACTCATGCTGTCCCTGGCTATGTGAGAAGCCTGAGCCGGCTCTTTGCAAAGGCGACTCTTCAGCCGTGGACAACTTGGACTGAAGTCCAAAGAGCAACTTCCTGCCTGACAACAAAGACTTGCTGTGCGTCAGCTAATCTTGAAAGACCCAGAACATATTTGACAAGTCCTGTCCACAGAGAGAGCAGTTCAGCAGAGTTCCATCGCACCTTTCACTCTGATCAAATTCAAGCCTCATTCCATTCCTGCACAGAAACTGCGGACACCGGAGCAGATTACGCGCCTTAGTGCTTGTCTCTTTGAACTTCTGGGCAGTACTTGATACCAATCGTTTTTTGCATCTCTAATTTTGACACCAGAGCAGCTGCACCCTAAACTTTGCAAGAGATATTTTTTTGAAAGCTGGTCGCAAGCTTCTGGCAGGACTCAAACCTGCAAGAACAGTGCCCTAAACTCAATGAGTCCGCAATCCACAGCCAGGCTAAGCTTTTGACAGTGGGTTATCGTTTGCACCACAGCAAGCACATTCTTTCTGCCTTGATCTCGGAGTCTAGGCTAGTTGCTGCAGTTCTCTGAGACCTTTGAGACACTAAATCTGAAGGCCATGAGAAAGACCTCGTACCGACTTCTTTAGCACAGGCGAAAAATAGCTGGAGGTCTTTCATGTAGAATCAAAATCGCAACCAACTGGTTTGGCAAGGTTGGGTGCTGAGGAAGTACCATACTGGTGGAGAACTCAGCATCTACTCCTGCAGGCACAAGTCCTGGATCACACACTCTAATCACAACGAACGGACTTGCCATGACAGTCAAGCTAGTCAAGCTATAGCTGTC